CACCCTCCTCCACCACGCCCCCATTGCCCTCCACCCTCCTTCCTGACACTGATGCTACTCTGTTTGTTAGCATTTGGCACTTCCCAGTACCCCACTGTGTTTGACATCTTTATGAGTCCCTTGTCTGTCTTTCCAGCTAGAGCGCGAGCTCCTCGAGGACAGGAGGGGGGCGGGGGTACCGTGGAGCAGCGGCTGACAGGTAGCAGGCGCCTCTGCTCTGCGGCAGCTGGGCTCTAGCTGGGAGTTCGGTTATTACCAGATGTTGCCAGGGATCGGCGTGGTGGAGCCCCAGAACAATTAACAGCTTCGAGGGCCCCCTAGAGTGCGGTGGGCCGAGCAGGGGTTTTGAGTTGTTCCTTTGACGTGGAAGCACTAATTTCTCCCAGCGACTGGCCGGAAACTGAACCCGGACCTCCAGTATGGATGGTGAGCGTGCTAACACTGAACCATCACAGCCTCCGTGCGCCCTAAAGGAAGGGTCGGCTCCAAACATTAACGCTGTTCACCTACAAAGAGAAGCAGGACGGTAAAGGGGCGGGCCTCGCTCCTGCAGAGCTTTCCACTCGGCCGGCTGCCCCCCACTTAGTGCCTCAGCACACATCTCTCCCACCCCACTCCCTCTGGTCACCTTGGGATGAGCCCCTAGTAGCCTGTGAATTCCCAGGCTGTCTGGATTTTCTATTCTCAGTGTCAGTCATTGACACACAGCCAGGAAAGTTCTAGAGCAATTTTCCACATGATCACCTCCTGACAGGAAATAAAATTAGCTTCCTTCTAGAGGTCACGGGCCAAAAAGTATGTGAAGACCAAACCAGAAGTGAGATTGGAAGGAAAAAAGCCATGACCGTCACAAACCAATAAGAACATTTTTTCCAATTGTCTCACGTCGACTTCTGAAAAATGAAACTTGGGTCTCTGGGCCCCCTGCCGCTACTGGCGGGTGGGGGTAGGAGGTAGTCGCAGCACCCTTGCTGTTTGGTGACACACTTGGAGCACCGATGTCATGTTATTGTTGTTATGTGCTGTCAAATCGGACCCGACTCATAGCGACCCCTCCTTGGGTTTCCGAGGCAGTATCACTACGGAAGTAGATTGCCCAGCCTTCCTTCCGAGGAGTGGCTGGTGGGTTTGAACCGCCAGCCTTCTGGTTAGCAGTCAAGTGCCTTAGGGCTACGCTAAGGCGGAGCCTAAATCCATAGGTTCCTGTCCCTTGTCCCTGCTTCCTGCCCTCAGCCGTCTCTGCGCATTTACCTGGGCTTGGCACCCCCCACCTGGCACCACCCCGTCAGCCTAGGCTGCAGGCCGGCACACCCGGCACACTGTGAGCTCAGAAGCTTAGGGTCTTCCACCCTCCCTCTGGTTCTCCTCTCTCCCTGCTCCCTGGATCCGTCTCCAGGGTC